GTATCTGTCCAGCTCTCTCTTGAAGTCAGCCAGGGGTCTTGAAGTCAGCCAGGGGTCTTGAAGGCAGCCAGGGGTCTTGAAGGCAGCCAGGGGTCTATTGGTAATTCTTGTGTGCGGGTCATTTGTGTATTGTTCCAATTACGGTATTGTGCCATTATCTTCTTCCAAAAAGATGTGTTTGTGTCAGCTGCTATCGTTTACTACAAATGAAATATTTCTCCCACTATTTCCAGTCCTTCATGAAGATCCAGAAACGCTTCCCTTCGTCAGTGTCGTTGTTTAAGGGAGTATAGATGACAGCACACGATGTATAACACCACTCATCGCACAGGTAGCTATGGATACCCCTCTCAGTTTGCGTAAACTCAATGTTACACTTCAGGAAGTTAATAACTAATATTTTCCAAATTTGTTAGTTCATCTTATCGAAAGCGGCGTCTTGTTCCCAGGTCTTTCGTGTCTCCACATGTTCTTGCGCTACCGTCCACAGGATGGATATGTCGAGCATAATAAACTAGCCACTTTGGTGTCAAAATCTAATCCTATCTTATAAAACTATCAACTGTTACCTCACTTATCTTTCCGGACTATGGTTTGTACGATGGATTACGTGTGGGCAGCAATAACAGCCTTTGTAGATGAATGGTTCAGAGAACCGACATGTTGATAAACTAGACACATGTGCAACTCTTGGGTATCTTTATTGAGGAAACGTTTCGCCACACAGTGGCTTCATCAGTCCATACAAAGGAGAATCTTGAAGAACAGGAGGAGAATGAGGTAATCAGTCCCTCAACCTTGAGTCGATGTGGTCAGTCCATCAATCTTGAATAGAATACGGCATACGTGCTGAGAAGGAGCTTATAAACCGTTGGCAGGAGAGGTGCAGCAGTCGTAGGTGGTGTAACATTTGTTCAATGTTGAAGTAGGTCGTGCCCAAGAATTAGGCAAGCGAAGAATTCCCAAGTATTCTCCTCCTGTTCTTCAAGATTCTCCTTTGTATGGACTGATGAAGCCACTGTGTGGCGAAACGTTTCCTCAATAAAGATACCCAAGAGTTGCACATGTGTCTAATTTATCAATAACAGCCTTGTTGATGAATCCGTGATCGACGGAGAGGCCTGGTCAAGGACTGGACCGTGAGGAATGGGTGGCAAGGGGTTACCCTCCCAACGACCTGCAGATAAATTCCAGGTAGACTTACGGAGATGTATAACACACTGGGAGAACTCTCAAGCCTCTGACATTTCGCCACAGTATGAGTATTTATTGTCTAATGTTGGGATAAATACAGTAAGAATCACACTGGTACATCACTACTGGAAACTGTTTACACATATTACTCTGTTTTCTGAGTTTAACTTTAACAGTTTTGTGGAAAAGGGGAGCTATTGTCGAGACACTTGATATACGTGACTACTCGACCGATACTTTTACTACGACTCACGGAATCGTAATAATACGATTGAAAACAAACCACGGCACGGGAGGGGATTGAACTCCCATTGTACCTGCATTTGCTTGCAAAAGAAAATGAAAGATTATTATTATTATTATAATCAAGGGGGAAGCGCTAAACCCGGAGGATTATACAGCGCCTGGGGGGGGATGTGGAAGGCATTCAGGCTTAATTCGGGGAACTGGAGCACAGATCCAATTCCCTAAATCAAGAGCCCCTCACCAACATCAAGGAACCTTCCTTGAGGGGATAAAATGAAAGATATATTCAGAGCGCATATTATTATTATTATTATTATTATTATTATTATTATTATTATTATTATTATTAAATATTCGCCGGTATTCTCCCGGCCCGGGCCTTTTCCAAGTGGTGGCCCGGCCTTGACTCCCTCTTTAGGGAGTGTCTGAGACCTAAGTCTCCCATGGGAGGAGGCACAAGTACCTCCTCAACTTTGGGACCAACTGTCCCCAGGCCTAGCCACAAGCTAGGCCTCTCTGGTCTGCCATCCCCGCCCCAAGGGGGCTAATGGAAATGACAGTCTGATGAGCTAAAGGCTCGGGCTCAGGCACCTACCCTACCCTAGAAGGGTTAGGCATGGTGTCGATCAGAGCACATATTGTTTTTTTTTTTTTTTTTTTTATTCGCCGGTATTCTCCCGGTCCGGGTCTTTTCCAAGTAGTGGTGACCCGGCCTTGGCTCCCTATCTGGGGAGTGTCTCGAGACCTAAGTCTCCCATGGGAGGAGGTACAGTACCTCCTCATCTTTGGGACCAAGTGTCCCTAGGCCTAGCCACATTCCCCGCCCTCACGGGGCTCGTAGGGAGAAGCTAGGCCCATATATATATTTTTAATGCTAATATTTCTTAAAGGATTAATCTTTTCAATTTGGGAACGAATTGTGTAAGTAAATTTTCTTTCTCTAACCTGACAAAATTATCAAGTGGACAAGAACTCTTGTCTTTATTTTCATTATTTTATATTTAGAGAGAAAATGCTGTTCGTGATTTTATAAATATTAAAGATATTAACAAAATAAAAA